TGTTCATACTTCAGTTTCAAGGTGTCCCTATAAGGCCGTATTGATTACAGACGACATGTTTTAGAAATTCCAGCCAATATAAAGCAAGTTTTTTTAATTCAGTTTCCAGTTTGGGAGTGCAATTCATTTTCTCACGTACAAGTAAAAGCCAATTTGTGATTTATTCTTATCTGGTCTCTTGCTTGGTCAATCTTTCTTTAATCTTCTCCATCAATGTCCTCTGAGGGCTCTTAGTCTATTTGCCATGTTTTCCTTTCTGAGAATACCAAATGAAGAAAATGAATGGCCAGACCTCTCTCCTAATACGTAGTGCTGTACTTCTTCTATACGTCTCAGGAGCGCAAACCCATTCTGTCAGGGAATTCAGTGCACAGGGAGTGAAAGAAAAGAGGCACCGTTCTCCCTATTACAAGTCAGTGTACCATCACAATTATTTTAAAGCTGTTATTTTATGATTAAAAAAAAGTTTCCTCATGTTCAAAATCAATTGAACTGCAACATCCCATTTCAAAGCATAAAAACAGTGCATAAAATATGTATAACCCTGTAATCCATTGCAATAAAAATAGAGCCATCCACGCCATTTAGTGGATACTTATATCCTAAGCACCTTGAAGATTGAAGAATGCATACATCTTTTAGTATCCTCTGTTAGCAACAAATCCCCAACCCAGACAGTGGAAGCGCTCTGCACTACCAAGTGAGCTTTTAAAAACCAACAAGTACTTATTTCACACACAAAAACCATGCATGTCCCAGCTTCCATATTATGGCTTACTCTTAATCAGTTTATAGCCCGAGTCATATAGTAAGGCACTAAAGCTCTCAAGTTTGAAATGATATCGGTGATAAGCTTTTGGAAGTAAAATCGGTCTATAATTATGAGGCCCAGAGCATCTTGTAATGTGTGTATTTAAAGGCGGTATTGACAGTGACGAGGTCAGCGAAAACTGAGTAAATAAAATATTCTTTCAACAAGCTTCTCAAATGATATTTGTTAAATATAAACGGTGTATATCTCATCTCGACCTCAGAAGAACCCAATCCTCAGGCTCTTAAAGCAAAGCTTCACGCCATCCTTGACCCCTGCTGGCCTGTATCATTCTTCTTCTCTCTTTCCCGTTTTTAGTTTCCACCTCATGGCTCTCCATCTTGCTTAACTCTTTTTTTTTTTTTTTTTATCCTTCAGAAGAAAGTGGAATTAGATTAAAGTAGGACAAAGAAACGGTGGGACAAAAAAGTGCTGAGAGAAGGGATTTGCATTAAGTGAAAAGGAAGAAGGAATGGAGACCGCCAGAGACATTATCCATTTAAGAGATACCTGGAAGACAGAGAAGCAGACGGCTTTAGAGTGAAATTATCTAGGACAGAGAGAGGAGCGTCGATGAAGCGTGGACGGTAATGAGAGCGGAGATGGATCCACACGGACAGAGTGTTCATCAGCCGTGCATTACCTTCAGTAAAAGAGCTGAAGGTTCAACCGTCACAGTTGTACTGGTTGGGACTTTGTGGGTTTCTCACAGCTTTTCCCACACAACGAGACAGTCAAGCAAGTGGGGGAAGAAGAGCTGTAAAAAGTACCTCCTGCGGTGTTCTGAAGGAAAGATAATAACCTATGGATAATTAAAATGAAAGAATATATTGTTTAAAGCAGCACTAAGAAAGATTTATTTAACACTTAACACCCTAATCACAAAGTGGAGCTATTTAATTTTAGGTAAGTATAATTGCTTTAAACTTATAAACAAATATTTAACTACATTATGCAGTTTGGTTCGGTTTAAAGAAGAGAATCATTGTAAAGATTAAGAAAAGATCATGGTTTGAACGAAATTAATAAGACAGAAACTTTGTTTCACATGTAACTTGTTCACTTTTGACTCTATGATATATAATAACCATGAACTCTCACAGTAGAGAACATACACACAAGTCACAAATCTAAGATTCCCATTTTGTTTCAATCAAGAAAGACAGAGTCACCATTGTTTGTATGTTACAACAAATCACATTCTTTTTATTTTTAGGTATTCAAATTCGTTTTTGTAAAATGCTTTGTTGCCACTTGAAACTGCCAACATCACATTTTCCCTTAACAGCTATTAAGATCATGTGAGGGATGTTCAGTCTGTGTTGTTTTTGGCGCTCCCCCTGTGGTATGGGGGGGAACTGTTATCTTTTTGCCAAACTTATCCTGAATACAGTATGTATAAGTAATGTTTTTAAACAAAAAAATATCACCATGCCCTTTTTCAACGGTAAAAAGTATCATGTAAAAAAATCATTGCACCTACCCCATAACATTAAGGCATTAATAATACCCAAATAGAAAAAGTCACTCTTTTCCATCATAGTCTGTTTGCTTTTGTAGGTCATTGAGTAACATCAGTATCAATTTCCTAATTTTCATAAACAGTGAAGAAAACTTCTCCTGGAGCTTTAAAATGAATATATAAACGCGTATGTACGTGTGGTGTTTTTAGATCTTGTGGGGAAATTAGCATTTTTTTCACTCTGATCATCTGCATGAATATGTTAACCAGATTCAGTAACTCACATTGTTTACATTGTTTGCATGTAAAAAAAAAAAAAAAAAAAAACATGCAATGTCGAGCACTGGAAAGTTGATTTAATATGAAAGAAGAATCCCGATAATGAATAAAAGTCTTTGTAATCAAAAACTCTTTTGTGGAAACGGAATTTCTTGCACTCACATTGCTGGAAGTAAAAGAAGAAAATCCACAGTGATTGCTGAGAATCTCACATCTTTCCTCTTTGCAGTGAGACAGCAGCCTGCTGCAGGGTACAAACATCTTACAGTACATCTAATGTTTGTTAGAGCCAGCTTGTGATGTTTTGTCTGCATATTTTTTTAAGTTATGTGTAAAGACAAAGGTTGTCAGTCTGAATTTGAATTAGGCTATTTTTTACTGCCTCTGAGAAATTAGCAAGTCTAATCCCCCCCCAGCTACTCAAGGTGCTTTTCCAGTTCTTGTGACTGAAATATTTGTCTAATGAATGCATTGTTTAGAAGAACTTAGTCTGATTTTTTTTTACAGGATTTTGCATCAGCCACAGATGAAGCTTCAATCAGCACTGTGGAAGATTGATTAAAACGGTTCTCTGCATTTAACGTTGAAGACTCAAGAGCGTCTCAACGCCCTTAACTTTGTGTAAAATCTCGATGCAGTTAATCAAAATGATCTTATATTGATGTGCAGCCTCTCCACTGACAATACATGAAGCTTTCACTGGGGATTAATGCAGTGATGATTGGGACTTTAACATCTAAATAGCATTATAAAATCAGTTGATTGATGTAACCCCCCCCCCCCAGTTGTCTCTCTAAACTAAATCTTTGCAGATATCAATCCTGCTGAAAGAAAACTTGACATAAAATTGAATAAGCCAATAAAAACAGAAAGAACATTTTTGTAATCTGAAATGTAACAACTGATTGCTCTCTATTTCACAAACGAGGGGCAAGGAAAGATGCTTCAGCATGAAACCCGAATAAAGTTTTTACTGTCTGCTTCATGGAGGATCCCCACACGGATTGAAGTGCTGAGATAAGCATTTACAGATCGCTGCCTGAAAAACAAACCATATCCAAAATAGAAGTGTTGCCTCCCCCAACCCCTCCACCCACCAGTATGCCAGACATGGTGTGCCAGCCGAGAGTGCCAAGGCCGGGCCTTGATATCTTAGACCCACTGTTAAGTAGACTCATGGGACACTTAGCTCCTCAGTCAGTTGTGGCTTGTTGTTGGAGGTCTGCGAGAGACGATAGCTGTCAAGACGATATCCTCATTCGCATCCTCGACTCACCCCTTTAATACGCCTTGCTGCATTGACAGAAACCTTATTTTAACATTTAAACAGTATGCCTATAATGAGGGCATAGACTCGCGAAATTATTGACTACATGTGGTTAAAAGTGAATGCTGCCAAAGTTGAATTATTACTGTGCAGCTGTGTGCTTTAGTTTGTCTGGCAGACAGAACCTCACGCCTAATCTGCCATCTCATTAGACACCCTTGAGCTTCTGCAGTAACCTAGATCTGGGATCCTGGAACTTTGATGTACTTATCCTATCAAAAGCATTTTTGTCTTGAGGCTGCCCCTCTCAGAATTTTTTTTAAGCCCAATTATTCTTCATGATCTCTGAAAAATGCACTTATATTTATCTCAGCTGCACTGTTTCTGTAAACTATGCCTCATTTGAATCGTACACTATTCCCCTGGTGGAATCCAGTAGTCTCTCTCTCTCTCTCGCCAGGAGCAAACCCTGCAGAAATCTTGAAGAGGTGCATAAAGCGAGGTTGCCCGCATGTAGTTTCCCTTTGCCGATGCTTGAGAATCGGTGTTTATGTTATTAAAAGGAAAGTGTTTATTTAAAAGTGTATATTCTGTGCAGTTTTGTGAATTCATGAAGGTGTCTCCTTGCTATTTGTAGAGTCCCTATCTGTGTATCGTGTGGATGCCCCGTCAGAAATAACTAAAAGCATTTGTGCTCGTTGTGAAACCAAAAGAATACCTTCCTTTTTATATACACAATGCATTGTGTCTCAGATAAAACAAGCAGTGAACAAGTGCCCCCTGTGATAGAAAAAAAAAAGTATTATTAGTTCTGGTCTCCGGAGGATTGAGATCAAAAGATGCAGCTCTTCAAACAGTTTACTGTGCCTCACCTCTGAAAGCCGTGACTATCCAAACTGCTGCTTCTGTTGGTGTTGTGTGATATGAAATAATGAGGATGTACAAATTAATTTACATAATTGTTATTAATTGCAGAAGCCGAGGGCGATGGGACCGCAGCACCTCCTGCTGGTAAGTGCCGTCATGACATCTTACAGTATGTGAACCCCACACTATGTGCTCCACAAATTCAATCTATTTATAAGATACACATTCAGTGATCAGCTTTCCATACAATTAAAAAATTATAACAACTGAAAAGAAAATATGTTAATAAAAGTTTCCCATAATGTTTTTTTTTTTAATTTGTCAATCATTGCTTGTTCTTTCTCTCTTTTTCAGACCAGAAGGGTAAGAAAAACACATTATATTCACTTTGTGTTTCATAAATGTAACTTTCCATTTATCATCATCATCATCTTCATCATCCTCCTCCTCATCTTTATAATCTTATCCTCATCATCCTCATCCTCAACATAATATGTGTCTTTCCACTCGTTCAGAGATGCAGACAGAGGAGGAGGGTAAGACTTGCAAAGAAACAAACACAGAAGCAGTGATCTTCTGTGGTAATGGGACTGAGAGTGGAGATGCATGATACAACCACACACACACACACACACGCACGCACACACACACACACACAGGATACATACATAATATCCTTTTAATAGCACTGAGGGCACGTTATAGTTTATTTTTAAGCGCCAGAGATGCTAATTAAATTAGGTGTCGGGAGCAAAATAGAAGGTGTTTAATTTATGGGTAAGGATCACATGCTATGAGGGTGTGTATCTGTGTTTGTGACTCTTCTATTTTAGCTTGGGTGAACTTTCTCCACATGAACACTACATGCAAATTAACTTTCACATTTGTCCTTTGGCAAACACTGTAAATGTACCTTAGCAGGGTTAGCATCCCTGTTTTAAACCTTATAAGGAGCTAATAGCTAACAGCTTTGGCTGATGGAATACATTAAAGTATGATATAAAAAGTTACTCATCAGATTGACAAAATATGGGATGCAATTTAGAGGGGGGGGCTATTAAATTTAATTATGGTGTATTTTGTACCCGTCTTTTTTAGGCTGTTTGAAGCTTTATTCTAAGGTTTTGATGATTAATGAACGATTGAACCGTTCAAGTTAATAAATAAAAGCATTTTTAAAACAAATTGGTGAAGTGACTTAGTATCAAAGCAATAAAGACCATCTGGGGTATCAAGCCATAATTTAACTTTAAAAAAGGAATGCAAAACAGCATTATATACACACACACACACGTATCATAGCTTACAGTTATAGAAACTTAAACTGCTTCAATTTACAACCATATGGTTAAAATGCCGGATCAACTTAAAAAGTGACATGATGTGTAAAATCTGTATAAGCCTTGTTTCTGCTCTCACCTAATGCCCCCAAAAGAATCATGTTAGATGTAATTTTTCTAAAAAAAATAACAAATACAACTAAAACTTTAAATGAAAAGGCATTTCCCTTCATCTTTTCCCTTCCATTAGTTCCCAAATATTGTGTCTAGGAAACTATCTGGAACATTAAAGTGTCAGATTAAATTGGAGACACATAGTGTGTAACAATTAATTTAATATAGGCTAATATTTTAAGCTTTCATACACAGTGAAAAGTGAAGAATATAGCAGCTCCAATTACCCAACAATCAGCAGTCTGCAGTCAGATCTGACACAAACAGAACTGACAAGGAGATGTACTGGATAGTTAGCCGTCGTTCGCTGTACTCTGGGTTCCTTTGCCACTTCATTCGCTACTCAACAAGTGTCAATGTGCTTCCAACCTCCTACATGTAACAATATGATAGTGTTTTCTATGTGTGAGAAAGAAGCCTGAGATAGATGCAGAATGGCTGTTTGTGCCTCTCATCTCAGCTCTACGTGTGCCTGAAAACCTGACCTTTCAAGACAAATCTATAGCTGAGGGTAATGAATTCATCTAAATGTGTGGAATAATTGTGTGTGGGTGTAGTTGCCTACAGCTGAATGGTTACATGATATGTGAGGTTTACGTGCTCCATGTATGTACAGATCAGGTGGAATTGTGTTCTGCGCTGCAACATTGCACAGTTTTATTAGTCAAACAGACGAAAGTGATGCATATGTATGATGATGATGATTTCCTCTATGCCACTAGCATGCATATGTAATATGTAAAGAGTCCCCTAAGAGTAAAAAAAAAGCATGTTGTTGTACATTTATGTATGGAGTCTGTATGTGAGTGTGTGTACATATTCAGTTCACCTTTAGGGTTTAAATGACAACCCACATTATGCAGCAACTGTTCAGGAGTGCATAAGCAAGTAGGCCTACTTGTGTTTCTCTGTGTGTGTGTGTGTGTGTGTGTGTGTGTGTGCGTGTGCGTGTGCGTGTGCGTGTGTGTGTGTGTGTGTGTGTGTGTGTGTGTGAATACTTCAGCGGGAATGTGCATTTGCTATCACTCCAGCTGAATTATTGCGTTAAGTGTCCTCGCCTTGCTGAAAGAAGCTAAACGTTAGCTTGTCTGCAGGTACCAGTGCAGGCCGGAGTTATACCACACTGCAGCTAAACTTTTTCCAGGTTCCTTTGTTTGAATCAGAACACCAACCAAAAAATGACATTCGCTGCTTTGCTAATTTCGAACCCCATTTTCTCATCCTGTTTTCTCCCCTGTATTTCCCGCTGCCAGTTAGCACTGACAACACATCATAGATGAAAGACATTTGCGGATTAAGTAATGCGCGCCAAAATAACCAACGTGATCCGACCCTAGGTGTGCGAGTGTGAATATGTGAATGTGTGAATGTGAGGAACATTTTAAAGTGCTTCAGATTGAAGCACTATTTAGAATGAACGCAACCATGATAGCCTTCTAAATATAAACCATTGTGAGACAACGTTCATGATAGCGTGTTATCAGTGCCGATGAGCTACAAAGCAAGAGCTGCTGTGCTGATTCGGGTTTTGAATTTTCAGATGTAAGTAAGCTGCAGAAAGTTTTACTAAAGCTTTGAACCGGATCGTGTTAAAACATCAAATTTGTTTCTAGACGTTAGATTAGACAAGTCAAGTTGAAGGAAGTCAGATCGAATGATGACACTAAAAGAGGCAAAAGATGAACTCAGCATGATTTAGGTTTTGTACTCAACATAATCGGACAGAGTTGAGGCTCTGCTTGTTTACTAGCCTCTTTTAAATTAGATTTTGTAAAAGTTCAAACTAGTCGAGACATTTCATCACGCTCACATGAAAAATATGTCTTTATGATATCAGGTTTATTTTCTATTTCTTGGCCAACTACTAAACTATCAGACTGCAGTCTTGTGTGTTTGTAGGCTCGTAGTGGCTTTATGTGTCTGTTAAATGAAACACATTGATTTAACAATATAAGGATCTGCTCGTTATTCTGACAAACTTGTGTGTGTTTAGGAACAAAATGCGTACATTTGCAACACTTAGATTACATTATACCATTGTGAGCTCTTCCACTCATTTGGTGCAGAACATCTGCTTAACCTGAGCTCATTCTTCATTAACAGATATCCAGCCTGCACTAGGTAAGCGCTTTGCTTTACGGTTAGAGTGATTGTTCATTTGTTTCTTTGTATGTATGTGTAATTGTGTGTGTGTGTGTGTGTGTCAGTTCCAGCCTGTCTGCAGCTATTGATGAACATTTTTCCTCATTCATAATCACACATGCACACATTTCTGCAGTCTGAGTGCGCCCGAGGAAACCAGATTTAAGTCTTCATTGTCCACACAACTAATTTCCATGTACCAACTGTTTCCTTTCACTCAGCGAACAATGAGCCTAGGGATGGTAAGGAACAGTCGCAACATGCTGTTTCCCAGCCTGCTTGTGTTTTTTTTTTTTCTTTTATATGCTTGTTCTCTTTACAACCACATTGTGTGTTGGTGGACATGGGGATCTGTTACCGAATGTGACAGACTGAAACTGTTCCTCCCAGAGGCCTGGGATTGCTCTGGTGATGGCCATCATTTACGCTTAGTATCAAACGTTTCACTCGGCCAATGGGCTCATTTGAAGATGATAATTGGTGTGGAAATATGACTGTGAAATAACTTTATTTATACGAGAGACAAAAGTGACAAAGAACATCTCAGTGAATAATGAAGGGACATAACAGCAAAGGATGAAAACGATCCAAAGACACGACTTAAAAAGAAACTCAAGTCACAGATAATTCATCAGATGGACTGTCAGATGAAACAAGGTGAAAATGAAATGAGTAAGGAAAATACAAATAGACGAAAGAGATGTCTATGAATAAAAACACACTTTCAAAGTCAGTTAAAGTATACCGCTTTGATTGCTTCCACCAAAGCATCCGAGAAGTGAGAGTGAACTCTGAAGTGAACCGATGACGTCTGCTCATAAACAGTGATATATACTGCCTGTTCTTATGCTGCATATATATATCATTTGTCAGTGTGATTGTTGAAGATTACTACATTATAATACTGCTGAATAATATCAGCCTAATACAGTTGATTTCTCTCACTGTCTGTATGTCCCAAGATTGAAGGAGACGCTGTGTGTTCTTTCTCTTGCTGCCCTTAATGATAAATTAATGATATGTTGAATAAATAAAAGCTGTGGGATTACAGAAGCATCATTCTCCATAGAGCAGTATATTTTCTGGAAAGGGATAAATATGTATGTTACTATTTTAAAGTTGTGGAAAGGAGATGGAATATTTGATAGCTGCTTTTTATACAGGTTCATTAATTCATAATCCTTTCCCAGTGCTTCCCCTGGAAGGTTCCTAGAATGAACCCTGGGATTTAGCACAAATCTAATTTAAATAAAAAGACAAAAGGCCAATTGATGAACAAACTAAATAATCAATTTCAGTTATTTCCCTAACATTTAAATCAAATTATAAAGGCCTTTCCAAGGAATGGCCTTATAGGACAGGTCCTATAAAATATGTATTAATATTGGGTTGAAATAACGTATGGCTTGCTGCAAAATGTCTTCATTATCCAAAATATGAATAGCGTCTTCAGGGGAGTTTCAGTCAATTAGTCCCTCGGGGTTCTTGCACAACATTTGAAAACTTCTAATCCCAGTGCCAAGGACAGTGTCTGGAGTTAATTTCCCAAACACAACAAGAGTAAACATTCAAAGTGTCCCATGGGTGCCATCCCGGGATCAGCTTCACCCACTTAGCATTTTAACTGAAACCCTTTAAATCATGCCGAACATCTGAACCTGGATCTGTCCTTAGGGGCACTTTTGATTAAAAGATCAAATTAACTGAGCCCATAAAAACAGAGAGGGAGAAAGAGGCGCCGCCGGTGTAGCTCTCTGAATTTATGGAGGTGCATGACCTTATTTGACACGTGACCCTGGATCCATTCTCTCAGCAGCTACTCTTGTCCAATGGATGTCCACCCAGGGGCCTACTCACTCTACTTGATTGGTGGTCCAATGTGCCTCTATCTTTACCTGCTTGACTATAAACCTTCCTTTTTTTTCCCTGTAACACTTACAAAATGTCTTAATGAAAGCGATTTTTGAAGTTGATTGTTGAAGACATAACTCATTAACGGTTGTGTGTTTTTTGGCAAGGAAAAACATGAAATTTTATTTGAGTCTGAGATAGAAAAAAAAAAGTGTTTCTGGAGTGTGAGAGCACGGTGATTTAATGTGTGAGTGTTCCTCATCTGCAGTCAAGATTATCATTGGGCCAATTAATGGGTGTGTATAACACGAAGCAAAGATACTGTACAGACTGATTTGTTCCCCGCTCTCTCTTTCTGTCTTTCCCCCTCCGATGAAGAGTTGCCTCCTGATGGTAAGACAAATGAATATTAGCATCTCTGTATAGCATAGCATCTGACAAGCAAACACCTTACAGAGGTTACATCAATTTACCTGCAAGAGAAACAAGGGAACGGATAAAAGAACAAACTTGTTTTTTATCGCCGAGATAAGAGCATACAACTTCAGTGTATGTTCTGTCAGGGAGGTAGAAGATTGCTGAAAGTCAACCTTAATGTGATGCCTTCAGAGGAGATCTGAGGAGTTTTTTTTGTTCCCTGGGGGCCAGTCTGTTCTAGGGGGCTCCTTGGTCGCCTGTCAGATGGTCCCAAATGGTTAGTGAAGAGTAAAAAGCAAAGAAAAAGGCATGACACAAACTCACTGAATGGTTTTGCCTATTAGGAAGACTGCAGCTCAGATTTAGTGCTAAAAATCACAAAAGAAATACCGTAATCCCTGTGCTCAGAGGGTGGTATTTATGGTTTAAGGCAACAAATCATCAATAGGTTTAAAGCTCCACAATTAAGAGGATTGCTGATTCGGTGGTTTGCTTGGTCGACTTGTCTCCTGTTGTTGTCCAAAATCAGTTTGTTGTGTGTTGTTTGAGTGCTGCCAAGACCCACGGTTTCCAGCTTTAATTTGTTTTCTGTGATTCATCTTTTCAACCCCCATTACAGAACATGTGCCAGGCGAGGATCCTCAGATGTCCGAGCTGTCTGGCATATTCGTGTTGAAGCCAGAGAGTGTCACAGCAACAAAAGGTTGGTAAAACATAAGAGAGAGGAACAAAACTTCAGAATTTTAAACCAAATGAAAAGGAGTGGCTGATGTATTCAGGTACAGAAGATGAATCTATTTAAAAGCAAATGTGGTCTATTCTTGTTTTTGTCAGGCAAGGACGTCACGTTTATGGCTAAAGTTGACTCCTCAAAACTGCTGAGGAAGCCCGTCATGAAGTGGCTGAAAGGGAAGTGGCTGGACCTGGGAAGCAAAGCTGGGAAGCACCTGCAGTTCAAAGAGACCTATGACAGAAACACCAAGGTTCACATGTTCTCACTGTGTAATGAAGCCTACAGGAATGATCAGACGTACTAACACTGTGGTTCTAAGGAGTAGATGTTGGTTAGTCAGTTTGCTACCATTTGTACCAAACAATAATTAGATGTATTTCAATTCATGGTCCCAAAAGAATAATGTCTATTGACTTTCTCTACAGTAACTCCTTCTTTGACTTACTAACCTGAGGTTAACATTTGTGTGTCAGAGTGAACTGTTGACAACAATTGAAGCATGGATGCCATGACATTTTTTTTAATCAAGGTCCCAGAATGATAACTCCCAATCACTTTAATGATCCCCTGACATTATACAGTACAGTACAGTACAGTACAGTACAGTACTGTTGTCTCATAAACAAATCATTTCAAATTTTACATCAGCCTTATTAGTGTACATATATAGTGCATATTAAAGTAAACTTTATTCCAGTAGTAAAGTACACTGGGTAACATGCATGCTCATATACAGTATGCAGGCATGAACATGCATGGAAATATATGTATGTATGTTCTTCTGTATAATATAAACCCTGTATGCAGTGACAAAAAGTAACAAACAAAAAACATAGGCCTGGTTAAGCTTGATTGGAGGATTTAGTGAAAGTTGTAAGCTTTACTTAAAAGTTTTTGAATTGCTAAAAATGCAACCCTTGTTTGTTTTTGCATTGAAATCTCTGATGAAGTTTGAAAACCTGCAGAAAATGCTGAATATGGAGTCAAGAAACTGCAGTGATGAAGCTAAAAGACGAATGTGTATGAAACCACTATCCGCCAATTCCTTTATCGGCAAGCCAATATCTGTCAAACTATGCTTTCTATTCACTCCTAGAGTGTGTGTTTGTGTGTGAGTATGTGTGTGGGTACTCAGTTTCGTTTACTAGCGTGTGTTCCTCGCACATAACCCCCCCTTTCTCTCTGTCAGATCTACACTTACGAGATGAGCATCATCAAAGTAGTGGATGGAGACGCAGGTGGTTACCGCTGCGAGGTCACCTCCAAAGACAAGTGCGACAGCTGCACATTCGAAGTCTCTGTGCAGGGTAGGTCTGGAGACACGCAATCTCATTATTGTCATCTTCCATTCAGCGTCTCCAGAGTTACTGTGTAACTGGCTTTGTCAGCCAATAACTCAGCGAGTGCGCTACATATTAGGTCCCATCATTTAGCGGCCTAGCGAGGTCATCACTCCATTATTCCTCTGCGGCTCAAGCCTGCTGTGTAATGAATTAACCTCGCCGAGCGCTCACCAGGCTTTCTCCTTCTGTCTGGTTTCAGCCGTACAAGAGGAGCAGCAGGACAACATCTTGGAGGCATTTAAGCGATCGTGAGTGTCAGTGTCGGCGAGGGGTCTACTCAACATGTCAGCCATCACAGTGTCTCACAAACGCTCCTCTGTAGATTGCTGCCTTTGGGTATCTGTCAGTCTCTACCAGCGTCTCTGCGTGTGTGTCTGTCTGTCCCTCAGCAGTAGCCGACTTTGTGCGAGTCAGTCTGTCTGCCATTTTCCTCTCTTTCTGTCACGTCTCAATGCCTTGCTCTCTGCTTCACCTGGAGTCCCTCATGGTTCAGCATCTTAAGTTTTTTCATTCCGTCTCAGGGTCAATCTCTCTCTTATTTTATACGGATTTACTTCCAACTAACAGTCTATTTCTGTCTGCTTGTGTGAAATGTACCTATGTGACTGTGTAGCTTTGTTATTTCAGGTGTGTGAAATCAGTAGCACCGACACCTTGAGACTCACATTTTTGTAATCTATGCTTAAAAAAATATAATTCCCCTCCTTCATCAGAGCGTGAGCAGAAACTCAAAGTTAAACTGAGAGACAAAACTGGCAAAAAGACAGCATCACATCGAGGTTCAGACAGGATGTCAGGGTGCTTATTTGCAGAATGCTGATATGAGAGAGAAGGAGAGACAGGGGAGGCAGAGATAAAGACGTGAAAAGTTGGTTAAAACTGAAATATGTTCCTTGAGAGATAATGAATAAGTGTGTCAAACACCTAGTTATGTGGAGGTCACACATTCAGGAGGTAAGTGTGGAGAATCCAATTGGATACTCGCGTGTGTTCCTTTTAACATTTGTGGCCGCAGCACAACAAACTCACTCATTATTCCTCTGGACTTTTTGATTTTAAAGTTCCAGACTTCATTGTGTGTTTCAACGCTGTAATAGCCACGGCGCCCCATCACGTGCCCTGGGCTATCAGGCGAGTTTTTCTTTCGTCATGTTGTCGATTTGCCGAATTGTTGGCCGGCTGAAAAGGCACCAAAGGGAAACAGAAAGTTAGTCTGAGGAAAACATACAGCATGCTTGCATTTTAATCCCACACTTGGTGAACAGCATTTTCTTTATTGTCAGGATGCACACATGATTCTCTCTGTGTTTGTCATGACAATGCTACACACATGCAAAACACACCGCAAATTTTAAATCATTAAAATTCAAAGGCCTCTTACTTAAACATTCATTTTTCAGGGTTGGACATGATTGTCAAGTTGTGCTAGGGTTAGGTTCGGGTTAGTGTTGGTGAACTTAATCTGCCCCTTACCTCTCCTTCTTTGCTCGTCATGGTGCGAGCATATGAAGATACATGAGTGACCCACGAACCAACACAAACTGCACCTTTGCTTTCTTCCTTTATTTGTTGGACGTCGGATGCAGTATTAAACAATCCCTCAAAAGGGTGCAAATTGGTTGAGATCTAGCTATTGTCATGGCTGTGGTATATGTAGTTACATCATTTTCCAGCCCACCTATGGAGTGATCACATGTAGGACAGCGTTATCACCCCGGGAGAAATACCTCCCATCAGGACGGCAAGGACAACATGGATGGGTGTTATCCTCGCATGAACTGCTCATCCATAGGACATGTACGATCAAACAGAACTGCTTTGAATTTTATTGGCATTTACGTTGGTCTGTGAGGGGTTCAATGAGCCTCGACCACGCCGGAGAAACGCTCCACGCTGTAAAGGAGCTGACAAAACTGCTCACAGCGGGGGAACAACACGCACTGTTATTGGCGTGTGCCACACACAGCACTTGTCACCTTGTTGAGCACAAGAGGGTGACTGATGACTCGAAACCATGTGAGTCAGCTGTCGTGTGAGGGGAAATAGAAGGTTTGCGTAGCCAAACACAGCTCATTTCTCAACGCAATTTTTCTTCTGTTGTGTGCATCTCAGACTGACATCATCATTGCTTCCATGCTTATGACAGTTTAGCCATCCTTCAATCAGATTGCATTCAGCCACTTTTACTTACTGTGATATTTTCAATGTTCGATGCTTTTTTTTGCTTTTGCTTATTTTTGACCTGTATGTTGCTTTCATCTGCTTGTCTACTGTTATTTCTGTTTGTCACTTGTATTTAGGGCATGATGCTAGCTTTTTGCCCTCATCAATCGCTCTGCTCTATGTTCTCACTCATGCTATTTTTGCATCTATCTGAACACAGGATGAAAAAAGGGTAAGCTTAAATCACAGGCTCTCGTTCATTAGATCTGCTGTGTGCTGGTGGATTTTCTCATGTTGCCTTTGTTGGATTCATAATTGCGTCTTGTCGTTTATGTTTATGTATTTATAGTGTTAGTTAATGGGAGAGAAAGGAGATTAATTTTAGAATTTCTATGTCCTAATGATCTTTTGTGTTGTAAATAGCATGGGTTTATAATCCTACCAAGATCATTTCCTAAATCTTTTAATTCCAGTGGAGATGCAGGTGAGGATGCGGGGGATCTAGACTTCAGTGCCCTGCTGAAGAAAAGGTAAGACGATCTTCATCAGCTATACAGACACACAAAATGACCTTAAACACATCTCAAATCTGTTTTCTCTCTGCTTTTATCTAATTCCCGACCATATTCAGGCAGAAGAAACATCAGGAAGTCAAAGAGGAAGTGGATGTTTGGGAAATCTTAAAGGCGGCAAAGCCCTGTGACTATGAGAAGATCGCCTTTGAGTACGGAATCACGGACCTGAGGGGCATGCTGTCGAGGCTGAAGAAGATGAAGAAGGTGGAGCCCAAAAAGAGTGATGGTGAGGAGAGAGGGAAGAGACAGGAGGGGAAAAAAAGAGGACACACTTAGCACAGTGAGGTTACAGGCGGGGAAACCAGAGCTCTGTAATGCGACGGGCTGTAAATACCAGCAGCGTTTAAAGGCCTCTGGGGAGGAGTTATATTGCAGGGACAACAGGTGGAATGTGTTTTAGCATATGATGGCCGCTGGTTGGCACTTGTGGATTATTTGGCAGTAAAAGCAGAAGTATACTAACAGATACTTTTGTGTCAGCTTTCCTGAGGAAGTTGGATGCAGCCTACTCAGTGGACAAGGGCAAGAGGATCCAGCTCACCGTGGAGGTGGCCGACCCTGATGTTCCTGTCAAGTGGCTCAAGAATGGACAGGAGATCAAACCATCAGCCAAGTAAGCACATTATTCAAGTGAATGTGTCTTGAGTGTGCCCAGCTCTGCATTTTAATATTGGGGTACATGAGGGTTGGCATTTTTTTTTAAAACTCAATGCCATTCATTTCTTGAATTCCCTCTAGTGGCCATTAACAGATATTCTGTTTATCAATAGGCAAGGCAGGCAACCACTTTGGGCCCCAGGTAAGTAGGTGGCGCCCAAGTAATGCCAAACTTTAAACCACAGCAGTAGCTAGAAATGTGCAAATTTTGCAATGACAGTAGGAAACCTCCCTAAAGTGGCCCCATATGACAAACATTCCTGCTCATTGCCCTGCTTAGTGTGGCTTGCATTTTTGCTCTGAAAACTGATTTTTTTTTCAGGAACCTAGCACACGATAAATGCTGGTTGGAGGAGCCCCCAATTAATTTTTGCCTAGGGCCCCAACAGACTCTAGAATCGCCATTTCTACTCAAGAAACTTTAATTACAGCCTGTTGCGCTTCAGTTTTGGCTAGCTTTGGAAATTAGTTGGACTAACTAAAATATTGTAACTTTGAGCCCTACTTGATTCTAGAGGTTGGTGGCTTTTCAGGGAACATATTAAAATAAACTAACATTGCAAATAGACTAGAAACCTACTGAGATAAGCCGAAAAATATTCAGTATGGAGTTAATTAAATATGTTTAGGAGCTAGAGACTTAGACTTAGAAAACTTTATTTATCCCAGAGGGATAAATGACTTACTCTAAATTTAGAGAGTTTTCAGCCTGCTGAGCTCTCTTCAGCGTCTGTGTCGCTCTCCTCTTTGCTCTTTTCCCTCCTCCTTCAAAGACTTCTTTTGGTGTTTTATTGAAGAGGCTACAGCTGTTGCAAGTGGTATTTTTTCAATGGTTTCACCATCTGCCATTTTGAGTAGCTCCATGCTGTTCATTGAGATTAAGGCAGTCCTCTTCCTGTTTGATTAGACAGTAACTAATGGAGAGGGGACATTTATTCGCCCAGAACAGCAGCTCCCAGGAGGTTCACCCAGAGTGTGCACTGCGACCGGCTAGATCTAACGAATCAAATGTTTAAGAGGGTACCGAGTTTGGCGATTAGGAAATAAAACACCACATAACAGGAACTTCTTACATTCAGGATGATGAAATATGAAAACAATAACAAGAATTGTGTTTTTTTTTATGTATCTTTGTATCAAGTTGAGCTTTTGTATTTACAGTCAATTATGAAAATGCATATATCTGTCCAGAAGAAGAATGTTTTATTGAATAGCCCTACTCATTGGTAAAGAAACTAAATCTATTTTTTTTATTACAAATAAAAAAAGTAAAACAATTACTAAAAAAAACAAAGAACAAAAAAAACTAAGACAGGTAGCATTACCTTTAACTTACTTTTTATTTTTATTTCCAAATGTCATAAGATAAGATAATACTGGCACAACCCATTACAAAGGTTCAGTTAGCAAATTTTGCACCCGTCAGTGCACCTGGGTGTGTTGGTTTCATATGAGGTGTGGTCAGGGGAATTGTTGGAAATCGTGTGTTGTAGCAGTAGAAAGTAATTCGACCTTGCACCTTTCAACTAGCACGCATTGTAGTTGACAGTCTTTTAACACTTGCAGCTTGAACTTCAGATCATACGTTGGTGATTCTTTTAATAGGGCTCTATGTTTTACTCCCCATGATCAAATCTGCCTCACCTGTAGCTTAGCGCTGCAGCAGGTCATTTTTATTTCAGAATTCAAATGAGAGTTTCTCATCCCTTCCTGCTATCGCATGTGATAAATATGTGTCACCGAAGTCCTTTGATTTTTATCATTACGTTTGCACAACAACTGAAATGTTTATGTGTGGGAGCAAAACCTTGTGATTGTGCAGGAACAGGTCTGAAGGTCTCTACGAGAATGTGTGTTTTTTATCCGTAACTGTGAGTCACTCCGTTGTTTTCAGGCGATCAGCGTCTGTTTGTGGCTGGATTGGCTGAAAGCAATTTTTCATTATTGTCTCTCTCCTTTGATTCTGTGTCTCTCTCCCCACCATCGTTCCTTATACCCGTATAATCCCCCCCCCCCATCATCCCCATGTGTCCAGGTATGTGTTCGAGAGCGTGGGCAACAAGCGGACACTCACTATCAACAAGTGCAACCTGTCTGATGACGCAGCATACGAGTGCGTGGTCGGGGAAGAGAAGTGCTTCACGGAGGTTTTTGTCAAAGGTAGATGAGTCACTGTCTTTGAGGGATCCTTCTTTCAGCAGGGAGAGGCTTTTTTTCTGCTCAGTTTAGCAGATTCTGTCATTGGAGCGCAGAGAGGGCTGACAGCTCTGTTACCATCCTGTGTCTGTGTTTGTCATCTGTTTATTTCAATGCTGTTACGCTGCACGGTAGCACGCTGCTCTCTGTTGTCAGCTCACTTATTTTTAATGGCCTTGTGGCAAGTGAAATTTCAATGTTTTGTTTAATGTCATGTATCACAGTTGTTGTGATGTATGCATTAATGTGCTGTCACATTTGTTAGAGTTTGACTGATAAGTGTGTTCTTAAGGCCGCTTTGATTCCTGTTCAGATGAAATGTTATACTTTTGGTCAATATTCAGTATGAATACAAACAATATGAAATCACTGAACTTCCCAAAAAATTACAAATATGTACTTTTTCTTTTCTCGTACATCAATTTTTTAAATTGTATTTCAAAAGATTATATCATATTATACGGTCTATATGGCATTATCAGTCTTACTCTGGTGCTTTTATCTCTGTGGCATTTTTTTTTCTTTGTTTGTATGAGAGGATTTTGATGAATGTAATTAGCTCTATGGCTTCTATAATAATCCAGTGCTTTGCTCTGTGTGCTCACTGCTGCTCAACACTGCTTTTACAATTTCAGAGGCCGTACAAGAGGGTAAGCTCTTCACCACAGACACAGCGCCCATGCAGCGAACCTGTGTGTCTGTGCGTGTGTGTATTTGTGTCCATAGAAACATCATCCACATCGCTCTTTGTAAACATCTTCATCAGAGCCTTTTGTTGTTGATTCATCTCGACATCAGTGAGGGAGTTCACCAGATGACAGCTAGTCAAAACTAGCAGTCCCAGTACTTTAAATAAGACATAAAGTACTTAGGCTAAAGCTCGGGCTTTTGCTGTGTTCATGTTTTGAAGTGATTACTATGGGAAAGGATTTTCCCACAACAAAATCAAATTCACTCACACTCACAAAGCTCGGTGAAATGATGATCAAGATGATTTATATTCATGTAAAACGATGTGCTTATACTAACTATTTACTTTATAACGTAGTAGTAGTAGTCCTGTAGTATTAGAAGTAGTAATTACTTTTCTTTGCGTTCTCCTGAGAATAAATTACCATATTAGTCTTTACTGAATGTGACACCTGAAGTGTTACAAAAGTAAAAGATCTGCATGTTTTAGAATTTGGCATTACGCTACGGCTTATTATACAGGGGTTATGTGGGGTAATTTAGAGCTAACATAAAGACAGCTGTAGTGATGGTACATCATGATTCACAATGTGTTGAACAAATCTACAAAGCTGTGCTGTATGCCCTGTAAGCTAGCTAGCAACTGCGCTTGTATGCACTTGCTAGCTAGCAGCATAAAAAAAAAACCTCAACAGATACAGACCGATACGCGCCTCTCAAAACTAATTAATCAATTATTGCAAACCAGACTTCACTGTGGGAGATAAACTGCTGAAAGTACCACACATCTGTAAAGGGTGTTTTCACTTTTCAAGTTTAGGCATGCGGCTCACTTCGGGACGCAGGTAAACATAGCCTCCACGTTTATGTAAGCCGACTGTGTTGACCACACACTGTGCTGTGTACATTTTCAGAGTCAAACTGCCGCTTTGTGCTCGCTGTCTCCTTGGTCTCCCGAGGGAAAAGTCATTCTTCAGAAAAAATAACACAGTACACCGAAGACATTAAGCGTATTTCACCTAACTTTTTAAGGGCTCGCAGTCATATTGTGCTTGTTTTGATGGTGCTGTGACAGTGGTTTAGAGAGTTTCTGGGCTTTCCAGCGGAGGTTTAAAAAAAAAAATGGAGATGTCCAGAGGGGGACTGGATGCTGACGATGACAAATAGCTGAGTCTAGCAGAGCATCAAAACATCACACCATGTGGTTACACAATGGGACTCCCACCACCTCAGGAGACGTGCAGTACCTTCCGCCTCTACATGACGGTTGTGTTTTGTGGCGTTGATAAGGACACTAAAATCATATTGTCCCGTTAATCCAAATCTAAAAAAAAAAGGATTTTGGTGTGTAAGTCTTTTCTTCTTCCTTAGAACACTTTAAAATGCCACCCACCACCCATCTGTGGAGGAAGGGAGTACAAAAGCACCTGAAATACATTTAATAACCAGTGAAGTGTGATCTAGAAAAATAATGTCCTGTAAAACTGAAGCTGCAGCTCCTAGCTCTGTAGCTACTGTTAATATGGTTTGCAAGATTGTGGTTTTAAACACCTCCATGAACATACAAACACTCGTAATACAACTCAAGAGCAGACAACAACACAGCAAGTATTTTAACTTACATTAGCTGGGTTGCTCCATTAGCCTGCTTTTTTTTTAGAGAATGGCCAAGTAAGGAGATATTCGCAGATGCGGTGTTGCCTCGGCAACAATTAACATGTCGTGTCTGTCATGGCGGCTGTGTCAAGGTGGTCGCCACGAGAAGACATGTCCCATTACAACTTTAAAATTAAGGATTTCTTAACTGTTGGAAATATTTATTTATATAACTATTTCCTAACTGTTGGAAATATTTGAGGAAAGGTAAGTACTCAACAAACAAACAAATATTAAATAGGTTTAGTCCATTTTTTATTGTTTAAGATATTTTAATGTAAAAAATTAATCTGAATTAAATCCAGCCCAACTTTGCTGCTGATTTTTAAAAAGACACTTTAAACTAAATGTTGCTTGATTTGGACTGTACAGGCAGCCTGCATTTCAGTTCAAATCAAGACTTTGCACGTGCCAAAATTTGTCTTTGACAAAGACCATGTATGTTTATGTGATATGCCTTGTAAAAAAAAAACTTACTCACTCCACTCAAGTAGCCTACAGCTGTTTGCTCACCATGCTTCTTTCATCCTCCACTCATGTTCCTGGTCAGAATTACTCTAGTGGTTTAGATACATGATTCATACAACACAACAGTACAGTTTTTCAGTGATTCAGTAACAAATCTGTTGTTTTTTAAGTTTGACTTGAAGCTTTATCTTTGTGTTTAGAGCCTCCAATCACCATCACCAAGCTGCTGGATGACGTTCACACCGTGGTGGGCGAGAAGGTGGAGTTTGAGGTGGAGGTGTCTGAGGAGGGAGCCAACGTCAAATGGTGAGCCAACATGCCTTTGGGTCATATGATGTAAATTAGTTCGTAAATGCCATTAGCAATTTAAAAATCTATGAGGTCACATTTTTCGTAGTGCATCAATCCAATTATCCATACTACTGTATATCCATAGAAGATATTAAACATTGTCCTTTAAAAAAAATCGCCTGCAAGTCCCTTTTTGCAAGTTTTAAACGTTTCTATTTCCAGCCAATTGTCATTATTTAGCACTTCTTTTTGACAAATACCAAAAGATTATAATGCATGTTCCTTGTGTTGGATTTTACAACTTCCTTGTTAGATGGACGTAAGCTCTGACTGAGATAGTTTAATGAAAAATCATTTCCATGAACAACCATGTAATGATTCTATTCTAGTTCTCTAATTGCTTAATGCAGGCCTTTTAACCACTGGATGTATCTGAGAAAATGTTCTCCTTCCACTCCATCTGAAGTGTGGCAACGCCTTGAAATCCCTGAAGGCCCCAGTCATGTAGAACATTGCAGACATGTCAATCAGCTCTTCCTTTCCTCTCTGTGTGTCGAAATGTCACTGGAGCTTGTGTGTTTGTGCGTGCGTGTGTGTGTGTGTGTGTCTCTCCTCAGGATGAAAGATGGAGTTGAGCTGACCAAAGACTCAGCAGGTTCAAAGTACAGGTTCAAAAAGGATGGGAAGAGGCACATTTTGATCATAAATGAAGCGACTTTGGAGGATATTGGAATGTATCACGCCCTGACTAACGGTGGAGAGTCACAGGCAGAACTGGAAGTTGAAGGTCTGATTTCCTCTGTTTCAATCTTAGTGTTTAAGGGTTATTTTCTTCAAGATTTTTTGCCTAAATTGCTTTTTCAAAGTTATACAATCGTAACTGGTGTGTATCCAACAAGCTGAAAACATAAAATCCAACATGTAAAATGGAACTACCAAATGTTGCTCAAACTGAAAATCCTGTGTGACTTCTTTTGAACATCAGCAGAACATGAAAATGTATTTCATAAGCTACACACTTTCAAAAGTCTGGTTAAATATTAAAACATCAGAAGTAGCAATTTATGGATGACGAGATTGTGCCCAAAGTTTGCTAACAAGCATTTCAGACATGGCTGCTCAATTAGGAACTTAAAGAAAAATTACACACCACCACATGATGATGTTTTCCATTCTGACAAGCATGAAAAGCCATAAATTAGTCATTACTCATGTCTTAATTAATATTACTCAGCTAATCCCTTGTATCAGTGGTTCATCTCACTGTTGGTCATGCTTATTTTAATTTACACCTCCCAAAAATTGACGGTTGGGTCATTCTACGCTGCAAAAATCAGTCTACATGCCTCCAAGACAGATGGGGCCCAAAATCAATTAGAGTGAGAGATTTTGTGAGCTTGCTGTGTGACCAATCATAGTTATGGTGCAGCAGGTGATAAAGATATGTGATGTTGCTACCATGAATCCAGACTGTCTGCACCCCAAAATAATGGAGGACAACTCTATTGTTGTGTGATTTTATTTCTTACATCCTTAAGTGTCACAAAATCACATTACAGTGGCAAATATCACTGAAGATAAGTTTCCAAAATATATACTGTAAAAGCAACCTGCTATACAGCTCCTAGCTTGTCGCAGGGTTACGGCTAGCTCATTTCATTTTGTACTTACAAATAAAATACTAATGTTAAGTGTTAACGGAATAATTTGGAATTCAAGGATTCAACATTAAGCCATTGTAGAATTTTCACTCCAGTGTTTGTTTGGATTAAATGGATTTAACAATATTATGTTTTGACAGAGCTAAGCTAGCTGTTTCCCATTTTTACGCCAAGCTCAGCTAAACTTATATAATTTAAGTTAATTGGTTGCCGGCTACACATTAAAAGAGGATGATCATGTTATGCAAGTCTCTGCAAGAAAGCGAACAGGCAAATCTAAAAGCCTGGCTAGCCATTTCCAATCTTTGCACTGATTTTAGCAAAGCTAATTTAGCTCTTTGCTGGCTCCAGCTACATATGAGGAATTGTATATTATTTTATCTTTGTCTCATCATAAAAACAGCAAAGGTCATTATCAAATGGTCAAGCAAATCCCTTTTTGTAAAATAAAAAGAGAAACATAAGAATATTGATTTGAATGTCTTTCAGTTCTTAGCATTCTCAGACTACTAGTTCCTCAAGCTCACTGCAGATAATTTCAGACCTACAGTTATACATCGCTTCCTGTCATTGGCAGGAGTGATCTGTGTTCTAAATAGACATGTGAAAAAATATGTATTGATTGATGTGAGTGGTGTCTTTGCTTCAGATAAGGAGCTTGAGGTCCTGCAGAGCATAGCTGACCTGACAGTGAAGGCTACTGATCAGGCTGTATTCAAGTGTGAAGTGTCTGATGAAAAAGTGACAGGGAAATGGTTCAAGGACGGAGTGGAGGTCCAGGCCAGTGATCGCATCAAAATGACACACATTGGAAGGTATTGTATTAGACAGCTGTAGGTTGTGTGTATATGTTTCACACAAACACACAACAAAACCATATAGCTATAACAATAGGCACTGTTTGACACATGGCTTGCCAAACTATTACCAAAGGGTTTTCTTAGTTGTGTGACCCAATTTTTTGGAAATGCTGCAATCTGTAAAGCTCTAACCTCTAAACACACACAGACAAACACACACAGACACATCACACACACACCCCTAGGGTCCGGGGTTTCTCTCAGTAATCCCTCCATCAGAGCCGCCCATGGCAGGAGATATGCCAAGGCAACAGCGGTCACACAAGGTGAAAGCCATTTAGTATGTTTCTCACTCTGCAATATTGCCTCACAGAGTGTGTTGCCAGGGCAACTGTCTTTTGCATAATTACGGGTCACAAAAAGTGTTGTCTCCTTGGTAACATCTGGAAACATGTCCCCAGGACCCACAAGCTGACGATTGATGACGTGAAGTCTTCGGATGCTGGGGATTATAGCTTTGTCCCTGATGGCTACGCATTTTCTCTCTCAGCAAAACTCAACTTCCTCGGTGAGAAAGCCAAAATACGAAAAAGATTTGATTTTTAATTTTCAATTTGTTCTCAAAATTTCACATGTTTTCCCCCTTAGAAATCAAGATTGACTATGTTCCAAGACAAGGTAAGTCCGTTTTTTTTTTTTATAAATTAAATGTGTTCTTCTATTTTTTCCAAGTCAGTAAAGTAGATGTCTTGTTCTCCGATGTGCAGATGCAGACTTCCCACGCGTCCCTTTTATTTGTTTCGTATTCTCGTCTGTCCCGTAAACTAAGCCCGCATGTGTTGTATTACGACATATGTACAAGAGGTAACTCTGCTCAGGCCCGGTTAGTCCTGGAGAAGTGTGAGTGCAGGCCAGCGGGGGAAAGGGGAGGGGGGGTAATCATGTTTAAGCACGGCACGGACAACTTTGCCTAGTATGAGTGCACCCTTAGAGTCATTTCCCTTAAGATGCACTTAGCCGAAGGGTTGTATTTGTTTTGCTGATGAGGGAAAATATCAGCAGTTTCCTCAGACTCACAGACCCACTGTTAACATCATATGCTTAAAAGACAAACTCAACATTGTACCCAGTGTATAAGTTGCTCTTTAGAGTCTCTCAATATTAGGCGTTGTGCTTCAAAGTATTACATTTTATTCTGACCAAAGCTGCTCCTCTTTAAAAAAAAAAAGAGATAAAGAAATAATGTTGAATTGACAGCCAATGTAAAATGATAATAGGTCTATGCAAATTCAGTTTTCCATCTAGAATTCAATTCTGAATACAACTTCCATCATAAAAATGATTAAATGAAAAATACTGACTGATGCCTTCAATGAGAAAATAACTATATTGATGTCCTGCTTTGCTTCTAACCTGAATGACCTCTTGACTCCTGTCCTCTACTCCATAATAGACCCTCCCAAAATACACCTTGACGCCGGCGGCAGCGGCAACAAGAACACCATTATCGTGGTGGCTGGAAACAAACTTCGCCTTGACGTTGAGATCACAGGAGAGCCAGCCCCCACTGTGTGCTGGATGAAAGGAGACCAAGTGAGGAGGAATAGAGACAATTTTCACGTTGACACAGTCAAATATAACGTCACATTCTCTATACCTTTGTGCGTCAATCAGGGTATCAAACCGTTAGTCATTCAGGCACAAAAAAAGGAGTGAAACATAGACTTGAGTGGGAAGGTTGAATCATGTCATTGTGACAGCTGTGCCATCACAATGCGACACCACTTCAAACAATCGCTTTGTTCTGTTTGTCTCCATCCTGCCCTGTGTTGTACTGTAGGTGGTGTCTGAGGCTGAGGGGAGGGTCCGTGTGGAGACCAGGAAGACCCTGTGCAGCTTTGTAATTGAAGGAGCGGAGAAGGAGGATGAAGGCCACTACTCCATCACTGTGACTAACCCCGCTGGTGAAGACAAGGCTCAACTCTTTGTCAAGATCGTGGGTAAGTTCTTTATTTCACTTTTTCAGCTTTTAATTTAATTTCTTCTATAAGTCCCATTCTATTTAAATCAGGACAGACTCAAGTTAAGAGTTTAAAATTGTTCATTTGACAGTTTAGGAAAGATAAATATGCAATATCTTTGGCGATTAGACTCCGTCATGTTGACTTTGTGCCCTCAGAAGGGTAGCATGGCCGACAGCAGGATAATGGTGGTGATAGAAGAATGCAGGATGAGATCAGGAGTGGGTTTCTGAGGCATAATGGAGGGAAAATAATTAAAGATAAATAGAGAACATTTTCCCAAATAGTGACTGCTTGTTTACAGTATATTTAAAGAAAACTGAGTTGTAGGTCCATGCTAGTGTCTCAGCACAACTTTGTCTTCCTTGTTTTCACCACTGAAAGTGTTCATGCAGAAAAAAGAACCTTGTACCAAAACTCATGGTAGGTTCCATGCAAGATCAAACAACTACTCAGGCACCCAAATAGTACTCATTAACCTTGATATTTTTCCTTTGTTTTTTTACTTCACCTTTCTCAAAATCCTTTTTTAGCATCTGTTAAGACACCTAAAGGCTAATCATTAGAAAAAATAATTCAAAAGATACTGTCAGCAGTAGAATAAAAGTAGGCTAACTAAGATTTACCTCACTCAGTCACTCCTATAGATATGAGCCAAGATCAGATGATCTAGAAATTAATATTAACCAGTGGCAGCAATGTTGTTGAACAGTGTTTTTCTATGTATTATGAGACTTTGCTTTGAAAAACGATACTGTGAAAATGTTTTTATTATGTCATATTTCGTGGAAAAGACCTCCTCTAAAAGATTCTTTGCAGTAAAGTGTAAATGAAAGAATATAAATAGTTTATTAAGTTAAAACCAAATAAAAGGTGGAATAGTCTGAATTTAGTATTAACTGAATTCCTGGCACTCGTGCCTTCTCTCATCTTTTTTTAATCTCTTCTCTCTTTCCATTTCCGACTCTAACCGGCCTCTCCAGATGTGCCCAACCCTCCTGAGAATGTCAAATGCACATCAGTTGGTGAGGACTCTGCCATAATCACATGGGACCCTCCCTCATTTGACGGCGGAGTTCCTGTTAAAGGTACCCATGGATCTCATGTTCACATCTGATGTCTCAGTCTCCAGAGAAAACAGCCGTTTCCAATCCCCTCTGTGTATAAAATTGCAATGGGAACCTTTGGTCTGAATAACATGTTTAATGACTCCACTGATGATGACTATGATGGTATTGCTTCCTAAAGGGTACCTGATGGAGAGGAAAAAGGTTGGCTCCTCCAGATGGACCAAGCTCAACTTCGATGTTTATGAATCCAACACGTATGACGCAAAGAGGATGATTGAAGGTGTACTTTACGAGATGAGAGTGTTTGCAGTCAACGGCATTGGCATCTCTCAGCCCAGTGAAAACTCCAAGCCCTTCATGCCCATTGGTGCGTTGCCATTTATCATTAGCAGAATGCTTAATTAACAGAGGCTTTTCACACAGTGCTCATTTTGAGGGAGCTTAACCTACCTCCCATCCCATTTACACTGGGTATTAACGTATTAATTAGCTCCTGTCTCTCTCAGCCCCCACCAGTGAGCCCTGTCGTCTCACCGTGGAAGATGTGACAGACTCTACCTGTGCACTCAAGTGGCGTCCTCCAGAGAAAATCGGAGCAGGCGGCATCGATGGCTACATCATTGAATACTGCAAAGAAGGAAGTAAATACATGATAAATATTATAAACTTTATACGAACGCTATTCACCATATTCACACAGCAGCCATTTTCTACTAAAATGACCTTCAGGGTAGTAAGCTCTAATGCTTTCATGACTTGGTATCGCTGCGTCCAGGTTTTCAAACTTTAAAGGGAGGAAACCTGACCAATGTAATCATTTTAACACTTCCTTATTCAACAGCCACTGTAAAGACAGGTAAAATAGACCGTATTTCAAGTAAAAACATGTGTGATTTCCCATTAACTATATACAACAAAATCATGATAGTTAGCATCAACATTTAACCAATTGCCAGCTATCTTTCCCTTAGCTAGCTAGCATCATAGTAGAATGTTATCATGTAGAACTATTGAATAGTACTGGTCACAAGAAACGTTAGCTATTGTCTAGCAACTAACCGGTTGTCATATTTGTTGTTATAGCACATTTGTGTGTATGTAAAGTGAATTGCAGAGAGTTTGTATGTTAAATTAATGCAGTTACCAAAGGTAAATACATTGAATATGGATCGTTATGTATAATAGTATTGTAACTTTTTGTTTCCAGTTGGGTGTTTCTCTTTTAGCATCACTTTCTCTGTCTGTTTAGCTAAAAGTCTATTTTTTCAACTAGCTAACAATGCTATTAATATGTGTAAGGAGAACTAACCAGCAAAATACAAAAATATTAACTTTTAAACCAAAAAGTCATTCTTAAAAATTACGTTGAACCAAAACTGCTCAGCCCTTTTAAGCCTCAACTATCCTATAAGTCAGCTAGCTAGCCATTATTTAAGATAGAAAACCTGACAGATGCTTGTTAAAAATTAGTCTACTGTTGCCAAAAGTTATTTCAAACCAGCCATTATGACTTTAAACAGCATTATGAAAGATGGAAAGGTTTTTAGGCAAGGGAAAAGTACAAAGTGTGAGTTCAAAGAATTACTGAACGGTCATTTATTGTCACATCTGATCATTTCTCTTTTTCTTGTTCTCTTGTTGCTTTTTCTCCTCTTCTGTTTTGACTCATTCCTTAGGTAATGACTGGGTTCAAGCAAATGAGGGGCTAGTGGGGATGAGCCAGTACAGGGTGAAAGGTCTCCCAGTGGGAGAGAAGATGCTGTTCAGAGTGGTGGCTGTCAACAAGGCTGGACGCAGCCCCCCCGCCGTTCTCTCCCAGGCTGTCACTATCAGGGAGATCATGGGTCAGGGGCATGTTTGTCAACTGTTATTTTCTTAAAGGAAATCCAATTGTGCCTCATATTTAAATATATCATACATTTACTTTGATCTAATCGTTAAACTTATCAGTGTGTCTGAACTGTTAGAGAGAGCTTTTGGAAAAATCACTAAGGTCAAAACTCAAACCACCATCTACACCATCTTCTAAAAATAATTTAATTCTGTTCAAAGTCAAATATTTTATATCTACCCACTTTGATTTTACTGATTTATCTTTCTTTGTGTTTTCTCCCCACAGAGAACCCAAAGATCCGCGTTCCTCGTAACCTTAGGTCCAAACTCATCGCACGTGTGGGCGATAAGGTGAACTTGGTCATCCCCTTCCAGGTTAGTCCAAGTCCAACCAACTTGCCATTTTACCTTCTACTGTATTAAAGTATTAAACTCAATCCAATTAACAGTTCACACAGTTCCACCACCTGTAGCCACACGGTGCTAAGAGATGACTTACTCAAAATTGAACTTGTACTAGCGAACGCTTGAATTTGGCTTTTTTTTTTTATCCAGTAAACATTTATATCCTGGGTAATTGCAGTGGGGAGGGGTAGGGATCCCTGGAGTAGTTAATTGAAGTAGAACCAAAATGGATGAAAAAGAGAAGTGAAGTGGTTCCAGTATCAAAACATCAGATAGCCTCTATATTGTTATGGTTCCTAATGTCAGTATATTGTATCCAAAAACACTTCTCTTGGGTTCTTTGGTTAGAGTAAGCAACCGATAAATGCCACCGATTTTTAAGCTGCTCTCTTAAAGGGCCTTTTATCTTCTGAAATGCTAATCAGATCTGGATACTTTGCTGGTTACAGAGAGGGCAAGATCTGAAAGGGCACAGGGAGCATTACAGCATTTGACAGCAACTTTCAAAATATGGCAAAAGTAAAAAAGAAGCTAACCATAAGCAACAAAGGGGAAGCAACTGTTATGAATAAAAATAGACAAGGGAAAGTGAGCCGTGGCTCTGCTTGCTTTTGAAGAAGCAGATGAAAAGCCTGTTCTGAGAGAGAGGACGCGGCTACATGATGTTCTCCTGTGAGAACAGAGCACCCACATCTCTGTCATCTTATCCAAGAGCTGGACAGAGTCTGCTCCATCTGCTGTTATCACACTGACAGAATATGTGGTGCCGCTAGGAATGAATCAAGAGGAATTAGCTCAGTTTTTTAGGCTATGTTTTTTTTTTTCCATTGGGCATCATTAAAAATGTTTAAAAGTGGAGCCTAAATATCAGCAGAAGTCTTCTCCACTTTCAACATATAAAGCAGTTTTAACACGAAAACAATTTGCGTCCGTACAAAATTCTTCAGTGGCCAAAGGGTTTCAAGACTGTAGGCTTCCAGCAAAACTTCACTAGAGGTCCATGTAATGTTAAATTTATATTTCTTTTTAAAAATGCAGCATCCTTAGAGGATAAATAGATTTTTCTCTCACTGTAGTTTATTTAGCCCCAGATTTTTCTGCTGTTTTTACAGGAGATATCCACTTTCGCACTTTTCGCACTTAAGATAAATAATGGGAGACAACAAAAAACAAAGACAGTGCGGTGCTAGGATAGAGTGTTATGTTAGTCAAATGCAACAACGTGTCATCAATGGTACCATGTATATAACCCTTGTATATTGACAAATACTCAAAGTCTAACAATCGGAATCAGCATTGGGAAGGAAAAAGTCATAGTTGAACATCCCAATTTGATTGCATTCCTCTCTAGAGTTTTGGTGGCCCAGCCCAGGTGTTATTAAAGCTGATACTGGAATAGCTTGCACCAAAACCTTTCGCAGCAAGTATGAAGAAAAACATCCCCTCTTTAAGTTTCTTTATTTTGATTCCATTTCAGGGTAAGCCTCGCCCTGTTGTGAACTGGTTCAAAGACGGCGCTCTCCTGGAGGACAAATCAGTGGGAACTCGCACCAGTGAGGTGGACACCATCCTTTTCATCCGCTCTGCAGAGAGAACCCATTCGGGGAAATACACACTCTCCGTTCAGATTGAAAACATGTCTGACAGTGCTGACATACACATCCAGGTTGTAGGTCAGTATCATCTTAGTGCACCACCTCTTTGCTCCTGTTGCATGTTCTCTCATTTAGGATTAGAAGTCAGGGAATGGCGTAATAACCTCAGCCTAAATTGGTGACATGTCAAGGGTTTTTTCAATGTGATGATGAATCCTAATTTCAAACTCCTCCTGATCTGTGACTCAAAGTAGCAAATCATCAAAGCACTGATTCCTCTCTCTCTCTCTCTCTCTCTCTCTCTATAAATAATCCTTGATCCTGCACTGCCACTGTGGCCGCCAGCTCATTCCCTTGCTAACAGCTCCTCTCCTGGGGTCAGGGTGCTTGGTGGATTATTTAGCGGGGCTCTGCTGGGATTATTTGTGTGTAGCCTGGGATTAGTTTGGGATTTTTAGGGCTACTCTGTCACTTTGCTCTGCTGAGAAGGTTGAGCTAATGAGAGGCTGGATGTGTCACTGCTACGTTTGAGCAGGAGACAGTACAGGAAGGATTAACGGGAGAAAAAAGCAGTGCTGCTCACAGTTTGTACTGCACTCCATAGAGGAGAGGGGAAGATTAATGACAAATGCATTACCATGTTTACAGTATTTCTCTCCTGTGCTTTGTATAGTGCAGGCCACACAGAAAGACAGATGATAAACACGCTGCATTCTTCTGCTCGCTAATCCAGGCACACAAAGAATACTATTTCTTCGTGAGTCAGTTGTATGCCAACACAGTTTTTCTAAGAAATGCATTCAGCCATTACCGCCTTCCCTTGAACCTTTGTCTTTGACTCTGCTAATCCATCAATCTTTGCCAAATCTCAACCGCTGTAAGCGTTGATTCCATTCTCTTGGTTTGACTTTCCTGCTCCAGATCCGTTTATCAATCCACCTTTCTCTTACTCTCTCTCTCTTTGACTAAAAGCTTGCCAAAATGTCTACCCAGCAAGAGAAAAGAGTCAGTTACCGTATTGCGTATTTGCAGAGCTGGACACACGTCCATTAATCCGCAGCCGTTTATTATCAACAATGATTTTTTAATACATTTTTAACCTGGACTTTAATTTAAGAAATGGTTAAATGAACATTTAACCGTTAAATGTGGTTTCCTTTAACATTAAGATTGTTACTTTCACTTTTGCCAACTAATTTGCTCCTGACTCTTGAAGAGAAGAGACTGCCGACCCCCTTGAGAGAAAGAAAGTCCAGTTTCTACTCAGGCTTTCATTGGCTACAGTAGCCGAGAAACATTGAATGTAAGGTCCTGATTGGTCAAATGAGGTGTCAGTCGAGAGGTCATGAACATGTGCAGGATAAACTGTTGAACAGCGGAGGGAAAGTTTGAATCCATCCTTGGATCTTTATGGATGTAAAAAGCTGATGTTTTTGCTGTTTACTGATAAGATTGGTGCAATTTAATTTTTACTTCTGATATATAGAATTAACTGATTGACGGTTAACAGAGTTCCATTTTTGATTTAATGTGCCCACCTCTGCGTATTTGCTTGAGCTTTGCGTCTTTGGAAGCATTTTCTTGCTTAACTCCGTCTCCTCTCACAAACCCAATCAGAAAAACCCGGTCCTCCCATCGCTGTACACGTCACGGACGTCTGGGGTTTCAACGCTGCGCTGGAGTGGAAGCAGCCGAAAGACGACGGCAACTGTGAGATTATCGGCTACACCATCCAGAAGGCTGACATGAAGACAAAGGTACCTATGCTACAGAAGTTACAGGCAGCCATGTTGGAATGACAACGACTGTGAAAAGTCAATTGTGTCAAATGATCAGTTAAGCTCAAGTTAAGTGTATAAAATAGAAATGTTGGACTAAACTCTTATCCCAACAAAACTGCCTTTGCTTTAGGCCCATCCAGAAGATGATAACATTAGCCATGTAGCTTGATTTAATAGCTGTCTGAATTAGCATTGTTACATACAAGTTAACGTTGAGAAAGTTCAGTTTTACATGTGAATCTTACTATGTTACTGTGACATAACCACAGCTGTTTAAGATACTGTTGACATCATTTCTAGTTTCAAACATCCACAACCTGAAAGTCGACCTTCATGATGGTTATAAGCAAAGGCTGCTGGGGAATTTGTCACAGGACTGTAAAGCCTCACTGTACCGTCACAGTTATTATGCCGTATGAATCGACAGAAAGGTGGAGTAGAAGGACATGGATCCTGTGGATATAAGATTCGTCAGCTTATATAGATCTCAACTGTAAGCCTCTTTGAACCCCCCTCTCTCTCCTCTATCGCCTCTCTCTCTCTCTCTCTTGCTCTCTCTCTCCCTATCCGTCTCTCTCATGTCAGGAATGGTTCACAGTCTATGAGCACAATCGCAGGCCCAGCTGTACTGTGTCTGACCTGGTCATGGGGAACGAGTTTTCCTTTCGAGTGTACAGCGAAAACATCTGTGGCCTCAGCGAAGAGCCTGGCGTCAGCAAGAACACCGCCATCATTTCTAAAACAGGTTAAAGAAAAAATCCTGGCAGAGCAATAATAGTATGATCTTATTTCTTTTGATGCCAAAGCCCACTAAGGACCGTTCAGTTCAAATGTAAAGAAATCAAAATGGTATGTAATGGGTACAAAACAGAAGAAAGGAAGGTATTTTGTATTTTGATTAAGACACCACATATCAATAACACCAAAAATACAAACTGTAACACATTAATTACATAATACCTACATGGGACTAATCACAACAAACATAATTTACAGGAAAATGAATTCCAATGATTATGCTGGTTATGCAGAAATAATATCTTACAGAGTGTAAAATGATATTTAATGACGGCCCTGGATTATGACAACAACCAGGCTGGGAAATGAACACCTGCCACCAGCCAAATGCTGCTACTGTTGTTGTTGTGTTCTTGTATTTGCTTACTCTACCAGAGGAATTGGCTGCCAACCAATCTCTTCTGTGTTCCAAGCAGCCGTCTGGCCCATTAAAATTTGGGGATTGTTGTCAGTAGGTCCCACCGCATGTCATAGTGACGAGAAAGTCGGTTTTCTGTCTTGTAATAGTAATCTGCATCTTGAAACTGTTTGTTAGTTGAACAGGATGCGGCCAGCTTAAAGAGATAAATGTGGATTACATTACAATTATTTCAGTCAATGCTTAACAAGATCTTTTGACAGATATAACTTTCAAATTGTATCCACATAAAAAAACGGTTCTCTCTTACTGGATGTATTATTAGCGTATTATGATTATCACACCTAGATACAGGAGCCATACCCACAAGTAGGCTAATCTAAAGGTAAACTGGGTTTAACAATTTGGATACTGGATAATGCAGAGGAAGATACTGAGTCTTCTTCCTCTGCATTCGAACACCTACAACATCGTAACCTTGTTTTCAGAATATTCACAAGAAAAACATTTATTTTCTTAATCCCAAAAATTGGGTTAGGGTAACCCAGAATTTTTTAACAGATGCTTCATACATCAGAGTGTTCAAAACAATATTGGTGTGCAACTGTTTATAATCTGAAGCTCACACTGGGCCAAACTTTGCTGTTTGCACTTTACTTTTCCACAATTTCAGGTCTGGATTTAAAAGCTCCAGCATTCAAAGAGAAGGACATTAAGAGTTCCCCGAAGTTCACAGCGCCCCTGGTGGACAGAAGTGTGGTTGCTGGTTACGCAGCTGCTATCAGCTGTGCTGTTCGCGGCTTCCCCAAGGTATTTCATCTTTAAGTGAACTAGTTTTTTTTTTTATCTTTCTTGTTTATTTGATTGATTGGAGATACTTTTAGTTTTGAGGTCAGGATAACACTTCTGTTTGTGTCAATCTTCTACAAATGAATTCCCTCTCTGCAGGGGCGTGTCCAGACTTTTTGACTGGGGTGGTCAAACTGGAGCACTTACTTATGCAGGGGTGGCCTAAAGTGTGATGTGCGCTCAAACACCCACATAGATTAATATTAATGATTTACCCTTTCTAACTGCACCAATCATATCTACTTTATAACACAAGATAATGGAAACATTTATGACACAAAAAAAGATGTAGTTTCAAATTCACAATTTAAAGTAAGCAAACTCCTGCACACTGTCTAATTTACAAAAAAATCATTTATTGGAGATGTTTTTAGTCCAGAAAAATGGCCAGTTAGTTCACCAAAAATAACAAACTAGGCAATAAATGACAAGCTTGATAATTTAATTCTAATATTTTTTGTTGGAAACTGCTGCCATTGGGTAGGTGTCAGACCAATTAACTCTGAACTGCAGAAACATCTTTCTTTCCATTATTTCACAGCACAGATAAACAGTGTGTGATCTGTTTGGCTGTTAAAAGAAGGCAGGATAAGATTTTATACACAGTCCTTTGAATGAAAAAAAATGCTGATTTAGATGCAGAACAGGATAACAAAAAATATGATGAAAAATGTATTGTATTAAATAAACTAATGTGAAACGTTATGACATGAATGTTTTAGTTTTGTCTTCATAATGTTACAGCGTAACCATTGCATAAAATAGGAAGAAAATGAATTTTAAGTGTATTTATGTTCAAACATCATAACAATTTTCTTCTGCAAATTCCTGATATTTTAGCCTTGGGAAAGTGTCCCTACTTTATCTTGTAAAGAGCAGACAATGCACTACAAAACTGTAGCAGCACCCATCCAGCATCCACTTTACCTGCATTGGCCCCTGTTAGCATTGCTGCGAGGGGTATGCTGAGCAGATTTCACGCTTTGTGTTTCAGAGCGAGCGTACAAGTTTGGAGAGTCAAACAGAGAGTGTAGAGCAGTCAGAGAGGATTTTGATGCCTTTGCAGCAGGAGTGTATTTTTATGTCTGAGGCTAGAACAAGAGGTGGAGCAGAAAGATCTTTGAACGCACACATATTTTTTTTATCCCACCGAATTGGCAAAGATTTGTCAAGCCGAAATGTTGACCTAATTTCACCTCTTCCCTCCACTCCCCTCTCCTCCCAATACACCATGCTGTGTTTATATCCCCCCCCCGCTTTCTTTTCTCCTTCCAAATTTGCCTTCCCCTCCAAACACAGCCAAAGATCGTTTGGATGAAGAACAACATGATCCTCGGTGAAGACCCAAAGTATTTGATGCAGAACAAACAGGGCGTGCTGACTCTGAATATCCGCAAGCCGAGCCTGTTCGACGGGGGTAAATACTCCTGCAGGGCCATCAACGACCTCGGGCAAGACGAGGTGGAGTGCAAGCTGGAGGTTCGAGGTAGGCTGCTTCATTCACTACCATTTATACACAAAATTAAAGAGTAGGAAGTGAGAACCTGGCCCATGACAGTCTTTAATAAAGCTCAGCATGACAAATCTCCATCTTTCTTCTCAACCCTTTGACTGATCTCTTGAAATTCAAATCAGCCTGCTTTGGCTAAAAATAAATCACCTTATTGCAATTGTCAGTTAAAGATGTCTCTGAGTCTCTTTCTTCCAACAGGATGGTCCACTGGCCTCACATGCTGATTTACATTTCTCTTTCTCTCCCTAGTTGTTCAAGAGAAAGGAGAGGGGGTGAAGAAATGAGCGACAGCACGAAACAGCAGAGGATACAGTTGAACAGGAATAGTAATGGATTATGTATAACGGGATAGTCATGAATAAATATGATTAGAATAGATCACTGGTGAAGCTCTAAAGCCAATCCCCCTGCTCAACCCCCTTTCCCTTCTACATGCTTTGCCTTTCAGCGCTGCTATGACAAATGCCACATCAGTAATATGCCATAAATTCTTCCAGCAAGCTGCCACCTTGTCACATCCTGAGTGAGAGAAGCTGTAGAGTAGTGTAGTAGCACTGCCCTGCTGTGACCACATACAGATGGATCCCTCTTATCTGTGAAGTGGACCTGTCACTGAACACACTTATAAAACAGCCTTTCATCCATTACGGCTCCCTGTGTTGTCTGTTTTGTGTCCGGGACGTTTTTATAGGTTGGGATGAATTTATGATTGTGATGCAGCTAGAGGCAGTGAAACCTCCGCAGTGTGACCGAGCGGCTGCACACCTCTGCTTCTTGTGATGTTTGAGCGGGGACCCCCGCTGGCTCAATGGCGTGAGATCACTACTCAGCCAGGCATGGCTGACATCACGAGTCCCCAGGATTTAAGGGGTTCTTATACACACATCTCCACACACGCAGTCAATGTCTGAACAATATGATTTTATCATACCATTTTCCAAATACAATATGTATCCCAATACATTTGTAAAAATAAAATATAATCATGATACTGTTTTATTTGTCACTATACAATAATGTCACAATTAAATATCATAGTTTTACCTTTGAACTATATCATATAATTGTAATATGGTGAATGGTAAATGGGCTAGAGGTTGTGTACATGTAACACCACATTCACACACTGATGGTAGAGGCTGCTGTAAAGTGTCCATCAGTTATTAACTAATCCGTTCATAAACCTTTATCACCTCTGACGAAGCAGCGGGAGCAACTTTAAGTTAAGTGTCTTGTTATGTGTGTGGAATGGAACCCCCAACCTTCCATTTGAGAGACGACCGACTCTACCACTGAGCCACAGCCGCCACGTATCTCTCTGTCGCAATATGTGTTGTGCTGAGGTGGGACTCACCTGAGACTCAATGATACATTATTATGGCAATACTATTGTCACTATAATACTTTAGACTGAGTGAAATATTATCCCAACACCTTTTCAACAAAATGACATTTCTGCAATACCTTTGTACCAGTACAATATTATTGTTACAACTTTGTCCCAGTGTGATGTGATTACAATATATTTTCCACAGAACAATATTATCATGATATCTATGTCACAGTAACACATAATCACAATACTTTTGTCACTATATAATTTTATTGTCTCAGCTCAGATATGATATGTGATTTAAAAGATGTATAAAGTGCGATTTCTTACCCATAGTTTTTTGAAAATGATTGAATCAATTTTATCTAGATAATCTTAAAAATGCAAGTAAAGTTTTCCTTCTGTTTTCCTCACTAGAATAACATCATCTTACAAACTGAACTTCTTTAAAAGTCAACAGAGTCCAAATCAACTTATCATACTGTCGGAGAGAAAAACTGATCCTAGGGGAAATTTAATCGTAATTGTTGCTCACTGCCATAGTGAGATGATGCTTAAGAAGATATCAAAAAAAGTGTGAGGTTTTACAGAATATATGCTTTAATATTGCATGATTGAGGTTCCAATTAGCGAAGAAGAAAAATGTCATGTTTGAGCTGAATAAGTTATATTGCATTGTACCCACACTGAACCTGTTGCACATGTAATGTTAATGTTACAGGTAAAGGTGTGCCCAGATTTGAACTGGCACAAGTTAAAGACAAGTAGGAAGAACAATGAAACTTAAAAGTACACACAAAGTAATGCAGCCTCTTCAGCAATTAGGGTTTTTAAAAAAAAAAAAAAAAAGAAGCTTTCTTTGTACTTTCAATATAACTGTCATTGTTTCTGTTATTAAAGATCCATAATGCATTTGTGTAGCAATATTATATTACTTATCGCAATACCATACAGTATCAGTGTTTCCCCCACCCCTTACTCCCTGTCTTTACCCATCCCCACATGTCCTAACACTACATTCCCAATGCCGTGACCTGTAGTGGTAGGCCTTTACAGATACATGGCTTACACTCATGCACATGCAAACACAAACACACTTCGAATCAGGGTCTCATTAGCATCACACACTAGAGACTAATTAATGCACCCATCAACACTGCCCTAATTAGCTCTCCCACGTCATTACTGAGCAAACGAATTACCGCTAATTTACACACCCGCAAAACAAACACAGCACCGTCTCTGCAGGGAGAGTCCGCCGCCGCTCGCCTCGCACACCAAATTAAAGCCTCACCGATGTGCTGCAAACCCAGACCGGAATCCCTTGTGACCCCCCCCACACACACACACACACACACACACACACACACACACACACACAGACACACAGCCCTAACTTAACTCGACCATGTGACTTGTGGAAGATTTGAGAGAAGATAAACTTAAAGACACTAAGAGGAGATCACTCTGAACGCATCAGTTAGTGTGTCTGCTGCTGCAGAGTGAAAACACCCCTGTCCTCTGGAGACGTGAGGGTTAGTAACAATCAACGGGCTGGTCCCACAGGTGACCATGTTAGGTCCTGGTCTCTTGACTGTCCAGCAGAGGGGGTTAGAGCACAGGGACCAGGGGATGACCATCATGAGGACCTGTGGTGTAATCGTGAGTGGCAGCTCATTACATTTCCAGTGCATCTCTCCAAAACATGCCAGGATAATCCTGACTTATTGCGCTCCCATTGAAACATCCAGCACTTCTGAGCACAAAAGATTGCATTTCCTCCTTTACATTGCCGCATGTTGCTGAAGATGAGCTGAAATAGGGTGAGGGCATAAAAGCCAAGATAAAGCAGGGAAAATCCTCCAGATACCTGAAAGTAGGCCACAATCGGCTGCACGGTAGACCTGCAGTGCAGTGCGAAGCTTAGATTTTTGAACCCTGTCAAGCTCTAAATTACACTGCAAGTGTGTGCGTGTGTGGATTATGCAGGGTGTTGATATAATCTTATTGTCAGCTAACCTGAGACACAGCGTGCTGTTTTTATCTGCTGAATGACACATGAAAGCAGCGCTAACGCTACACTGCATGTTCCTTTGCCTGGAAGTTGGCGTGTGTGTTTGTGTGTGTGTGTGTGTGTGTGTGTGTGTGTGTGTGTGTGTGTGTGTGTGTGTGTGAGCACGTGTGTGTGTGGAGGGAACAGATCTGTCAGAAAATACAGCGTGTAACCTCTATGCTGCACCTGAGCTTTACCCTCCGTTTCCCCACTGTCACTGATGTTCAGTTGCTAAGCAATCAAACTAATTGTATCTACTGGCATCATCCACGAGCCTCATGAAACTTTCAAAACATGAGAAAGTGTACAATGCCGCTGTCATGGTTTGTGTGCCTCTCCTATGCTCACACTGTTTCAGAAAGCCCTAAGTAGTAAGGCAGAAGCAAGCACAGCGTTTGTCTCCCTCATTCCATGTGACACACCTTAAGGCTCTTTAAGTTTGTGATGCTTAAATGAATAATTAATGAGGGCGCATGGCGGAGCAGGAGTAAACCACCAGCTTCCTCTTCTTCTTCTTCTTCTTCTACTTCTCCCTGCACACTGTATCTTCTCTGCTGTCTTTCCAATATTAGAACAGGCCTGCCTCAGACGAAGACGAGACAAAAGAGAGTGACAGGACGAGGCGCAGCACCGGGCGAAAGGGAGGCAGAATCAGTTGGGCGCTCACTCTGATATGTCTGTCTGTGTGTGTGTGTGTGTGTGTGTGTGTGTGCGAAAGAGAAAGACAAGAGAGACAGAAACAGACCTCCTGAAACAGTAGGATGGAGGGAAGTATAATTATGCGAGTAATTATACATGAAATCACAGACTTGGAGGGAGAGAGAAAGAGCACTGGAGGGAAAGAGTCTTGCAGTGAGTCTCATCCATGTAATTACAGGATAGGATTTAAATGAAAGAGATGGAGAACGCTCACACTTCATACAGAAACATCCACCTACTTTTAGGTCACATTTTGACCACCCAACTGTAACTTTCACACTTTTCTGTCTTCATCTTGTTTTTTTTTTGTTGTTGTTGTTTTTTCCCCCCGTTACCATGGTATGCTCTATTGAATACCCTGTGTGACTTATACCCCGTGTCATCGTTTTCATTGATTAAAGAGCCCAAACCCTCCCCGAGCTCTCGACCCATATAATGAGCACAATGTATCTGAGGGGGGTGGGAGGTTTGGAGGCGTTAAAAAAAGAGAGCTGCCTCACATTTCACAATAATGACAACTTCATGACTGCATGTGGCTGACAGAAACAGACGAGGAGGTGGAAGAGGTGGCTGTATTTGAGTTTCTTTCTATACGAAGAGAAATTCCCCTAAATATCCTCACCTTTTCACTTTGTATTACTTGTTTTCCCAATAGCTGTTAGTGTTATAAGAAATGGGGTTTACAGATAAGTGAATGTTTCTAACTTCCTTTCCAATTCTGTGTAATTTCCATCATTATTAATTCAGGGATCAAATTAGTGAGTTTTTGTGCATTCCTTGACGTGGACTTTTGTTTAACAAAAAAACAAGATGTAGCTGAAAAAATTTTAAAGAGAAGAAAAATCTATGTTTTGCAACTTCAAATGTTAGTGTGATAATTCTAGCCTTTTCAAACTTGGACACTTATCCATTACACGTTTAGTATATCATCCATTTTCTGCTCATTAACATGGTCCAGGTCACAGGGGAAACAGGCTGACTAATTATGCCCCTCTCCCAACTATGTCCTCCAACTCCTGGTGTTTCCAGAGTATCCCGAGGCGTTGGCTCGATGAGACATAATCCCTTTTGAGTGTCCTGTGTGTTCTCTTGAGCAACACAACTTTGGACATGTACAGCAAACCTTCAAAGTAAGGCACCCAGAATGAGTATGGGTCCTTTAAAGCAACGGAGGTTCATCTTTGACTTTTCATCACTGCTGAGAGCTCAGAATTAGAGTTAAAACACAGATCGACGTGCAAATCCACAGCCCCCAACCCCCCACCCCCTTGGTATCACTTTCGGTTTCTTCATTATGACAGTCCAGTGCAACGACATCGCTAATGATCCCACGTTCTAATTTGCTATCTTCAAACCCTCTCTCACAAAAAAAATCTGAGAAAAACTAGAACACGGTCACTTCCAGAAAGATGCTTCCAACAGCCAGAATGAAGCTGCCCAGTTCTTTCTGCAGATTCAAAAAACACCATGTTCTTAAGATGTCTGTCATCACATGATGTCTGTCATTTAGTGATCCAAATGAATCACATGACAATATGTCAATTAAAGTTGAGATAGAAAGT